AGTACAACGATTGAGGTGTGAGTATGCAACAGAACCTCCAACATGCCTAACAATTGCTGCATTAGTGATAAGTTTGAGACGCATGGTATTGTGTGTGATGTGCACAAGGGAAGATCTGGAAGGCCTCGCACAGCAACAGGTCTTGCTTCTTCTGCTATGGTGTTGGAACAGTTTACACGCTTGCCACAGAAGTCTACCAAACAATGTTCAGCGTAATCAGAAGTGTCTGGACATAGATGGTAACCACTTTGAGCACCTATTGTGATTGCAGAAGTCAAACATGATTTGTATTCATCTTTTGTTATTGGTATATATTGAGTATTACAATTTTAATATAGTTTTTTTTTCTTTTCTTAAAATGTGTATTTATTTTTTGGCATCCTCTGTATGGATTGGCAGCTGGATATTATTAATAGCAAAAGATGTGCTGACCTAACAAATCACGCTCAAAGGAAGAGTTCATTTTGTTCTCTAAAGAACATATTCCCCCATTAATTCTCTAGTAGTTCCTAATCTACTTACCTCTACCATCCTCATAGTCCAGAAGACCAGCACCTAGAGAAAAAAGGAGAGGGAACTTCATGATTTTGCTTCTTAAAAATTGGTGAGGCTTTAAGACTCTGAGAGCTAATGTAGACATGAACCCCTGGTAGTGAGTGATGATGGAAATTAATTCACGTTGTAGGAACTGGGGATTGTGCATAAGGAGCAGGAGCAGATGATGATAATGACCATCCCCGTCACCAGTTTCACATTAGCTAGGCTGAATACTACTCAGAAAGGGCCTGCTTTTCCTTGGTACTCCAGCACCTAGCTCCTGTTTTTCTTCTCTTACTATTGTAATTCTGGGCTATCTTTCCACAAGTTTGGCATCTCACTAGACATTGCCATGGAAAAACTGCTTCACCTCTTTGCCTCTTGAACTCGGTGCTCTCCTTGTCAATCATAATCATCTTAGTTGTGTTCACTCTTATTATTCCTAGCCACATTATATTCTTCTACTTGGCACATTGCCGAGACTTTCTTAACTACCAGATTTAGAACTGCCTCCTTGCCTCAGGAGTCTGCCATTTCCACGGCTTGGTATCTCTGCTGCTACTTGGGGACCACAGGCATCTGAAGAAGGCCTCAGAATCATGCAGACCTACCCACTACTAATTAATTCTGTCCAACTCCAGTGTGGCAATCAGGGCTGCATAGAAATCTCTGGTGGGTTTCTCCCAGTAACCTATAGCTCATGGAATGACGCATGATGCAAGGAGCTGCAAATCCAATGGTAAACAAGACAGATTTGGTCCCTGACTTACGGAAATTCTGTAAATGCTTATGCTCTTTCTTATTCTCATGGGCATAAGTACTTACTTTGTTCTGAACTGTATCTTGAGACATCAGTTTCTGTGGAGAAATTAAACAAAAATATTTCTATTGGCTACTTGCGAGGTGTTCTTCCTCCTGTCCCAACTCTCCTCTCTCTACACTTCTTTGCTCCTATGGTGGCCCTCTTGATATGATGCNCTTAGTAAAGATATCTGGGTATAAATTAGTTAACCTTTGTTACTTAGTCCACAGGGTTGAGGAAGTGGAAATAATGTTTTTATTGCTGGGAGAATAATTTGATGCAGACACTTTTTATGTGTTTTAGTGTTGAAAACTCAGAAAATCTTTTAGCATTTATAAAGAGAAAGATAAAATATTGGGACATTTCAGAGATAGAATCATAGCAAACATGACACACAAGCCCAATTAGAGAAAAGGAGATTTGAAAAGGACCTAACAAATGTACATACAAGTCAGAGGAGCTTTCAGAAACTGTGAAGGGCAAATATCTGGATCCCTCCAGATATATTGGAAGATTGTTTCTGCACAGAGATATATAACATTGGCTATGGAGGTCGTTAGTAACTGGATCAATAGGGAGATGACTTTGGGCTCAGTCTGGGGTTGTGATAAATTAGATACAAGCTTCATGGGACATGGTAGTATGTGAGCTTCCCTCTCAAAAAGGCCGATGGTGACAAACCAAGACCATAATTAACTGAGAGGCAAAAATGCAGCTGGAACAATTTCTATGATTTATCTACACAAACAATTCCGCAGTCTCTCATGTTTCCTCATCATCCCAGGCACTCAGAGACGTCCCTCTTCTCCAGAGCTTGCTGTTCCCTCTGTCCTCAGGATGTTTCTCTCAATTTTCTCAGGTCTTGGCCTCCAGAGTCATTCACTCTCTACTGGATCAAACCTTATGCAGATGAACTTAGTCAACTTATAACGGCAGCCCAAGTGAGTAATTTAAACACTGATTGGTGGTGATGTTCTTCCGCCTTGAAGATCTTTTCCACTATGAGTTCACTTAAGCTGTCTTCAGTATTGGGTAAACCTGTATCACCTCGTTTCCTTCCCAGGCATAATCACTTCAGGTAGTTCCTTCTCTCCTATAACTCCCATCTCTCACTCTCTGCTCTCCTTTCTACGTAAGCATATATCTTACTATCTTCCATTTAAAAGCAAAACAAAACTAACAAAACAATTCAAAACAAACACAAACTAAATTCCTTTTTTCATTCTCTTACAGATTCTGCCTTATCTTTCTTCCCATTAGGCCAGTGTTACTTTGAAAGCGTGGTCTACACTCAGCCTCTTCATTAGCTAACATCCCTTCGCTTGTCAAATCCCATCAGGCAGCTGAAAGTGCCTCAGCCAGGTCCCTTGTGCTCTGCTTGCACATTTTTAAGCCTTGAACTAACTTGACCTTCTACAGCACTGATATATGTGGTCACTATGACACTCTTGTCTTGTTAGATTTACATGAAATAATGCTCTTTTTAGCTTCTGTGGGTCTCCACAGGCCAGTCATGTGGTCTTTTTCTTCAGCCTAATTCTTAACCTACTCCCCACACTCCAGTTCTTCTTATCTAGGCTTTCAGTCTTGTGCTTTACTTTTCTCACCCTGTATGATTTCTACTGTTAATTTTATCTAGTCACATGACTTTAGTAAATACCCATATAAATGTATTTTAGGCATTGCTTCTGAGCTTTTTTTAAAATTGGGGAATTGGGGGAGGGGAACATTGTTGGGGAAGTGGGGAAGGGAACCAGCCAAGTTGTTCTTCAATCTTCGTTGTGGAGGGTGCCAGTCGCCATCTGGCTTCCCGTCGGCAGCTCATGGCCTCTAAGCTCAAGGTGCTGTGTACAATCTTAGTTGCGGGTGGGCATAGTCACCATCCCATGTGGGAGTTGAACCAGCATACTTGTTGTTAAGAGTGCATGCTCTATCTGCTGAGCCATCTGGGACTGAGCCATCCAGGTGGCAGCTCAGCTCAAGGTGCCGAGTTCAGTTTTAGTTGCTGGTGGGCGTAGCCCACCATTGAACAGGCAATTTTGTTGTTAGGAGCATGTGCTCTCACAGCTGAGCCACCCTGCCACCTGCTGGCAGCTCAGCGACAGCTCAGCTTGGGTGCAGCATCACTAGCCCATGTGGGAATCGAACTGGTGGCCCTGTTGCTCAGAGCTCATGCTCTTAAGCTAACTCTTAACCAACTGAGCCACTTGGCCGGCCGCTTCTGAGCTTTTGACAGATATACTTAACTACCTCCAGAACATCTCCTCTTGGTCATCTTACTTGTACGTCAAATTCAGCATACGCAACGATGAATTCACCATTTGTTCCTCAGATTTTCTGTTGTGGGTATAATCTCATTCTCAGAGAATGCCAAATCGTCCACACATATTTTATTTAGTGCTTTCAAATTTTACTGATAACGGTTATTTAGAGGAAAAATTTTTATGAAAGGGAAGTGTTTTCTTTTTACTTTTTAATATTGCAAACAGACCTTTAATATTTTTACTCTAATTTAAGAGGATTATTGCTGGGAGTATGTGTAGCTCTGTTTGATATCTTATTCCTGCCTACCCAACCTGATATTTACAGCCATGAAAGTGCAAATACTCATATTCCTACAGGTTTATAATACTGATATGTTGGAAAATATGTTTTAAAGCTAGCAAATGTGTATTTGCTGAAGGCCCCTTTCTTTAGGGAGATCTTTTTCTCCAAGCACTTCAAAATTTCAGAAAATGTATTCTGTCCTTCTCCCCTCTCCCCCTGACAGCCTCCTGCACTGCCTTGCACTTGGTAGATGTCCTATGAGAAAATATAAGCCTGAGTTTGGGAGCTCCTAGTTTCTAATTTATTTCTCAGATTCACCTGTGAAGTGCTCTGTGGTTTTCCTCTTTCCACCAGCAATGTCCCTGTGCTTGTGGANTCTAAAAGTCTTCTTGGCTCTATTCAGAAGTTTAATGGCAAAAATATCCAGATCTACCACCTTACTCATTTTTAAACTTACTGTTCTCTCTGGGCTTCTCAAAAATGACTTGATAAAACAAAGTTAGAACCATGATTAGAAGAGCAGCTGCCTTGATCTTGTGTAAATTAGTCATTATGATGTAAAATATGAAAAATGAAATCCCAGAGACATTCTTTATTGATCCCTGTGTAGATTAAGACAGCATTTTCCTTTACTTCTTTCCTGCAAACAAACAGGAGAATTATGACCCAGATCAATTTTCTTCAGGAAAAATGCCCTCATCACTTCCTAGGAGACAAGGGGAAAATTGCTGCCTGGGTTTTGCACATGGTGGGGAATTGAGGACAGGGTTAGAGTGGCGAGGAGTTTCTCTCCTGGGTCAGGTGTGGGCTCTGAGAGAGGTAACCACACCTGGCAGCACCAGGTCAGGGGAGTAAGGCCCTGCCTGATCACAGGCCTGCTCTCATCACCATCTTTCTCCCTGAAGGAGGTATGAGAAGCTACAAAAAACAGAGAAAGTTCCAGATCTTTAGAAGATTTGCCTGAATGAGTTCTTGCATTCTTTTTGGGTGAGTGATTTAATTCAAGAAGAGGGTGCAGGGAAAAAAGAGGCTCAGAGTGTTCTCATCCGACAGAAAATAAATGCCCCTGATGGACAAGCAGTGATGGAAGGAGAAGTGAGGGATGTAGAGATAATGTAAGGACCATGGAAGGGGTCCAGAACCAATATGATAGAACCAGGAGAGTTCTCAGGATCAGAGAGACTAAGATGAAAGCCTAGTATCTCTGATTGGAGAGGATTATAGCTTTTCTAGAAGAATCTTTAAGGTTTTCTAAGGAGAGAAATAAATTAGAACAATAGACAAATCATGAGGGTCAAAGACACTAAATTTAGGCCCTTTTCCCTGGATTCTTTGTTTTCTCTATTGACCTTTCTCAGGTTCTTCATAAACACACACACACACACACACACACACACACACACACACACACCCCTGAAGAGGCTGCTCCTCTTCCTGCTTCTATTGCTTTTACTGTCATTTACAAGATGATACCATATCGTAGAGGTTTAAATGAAACAATCTTATACCCACTTCCCAGATTTATGTATTTATCTTGTTCAGAGTAAGGAATGTGTGTATAAGCTACCTCTATAATTTTTTTGTGCTCTAGACTTATTAATTTTATGTTTATAGAAAATATACCCAGGATATTGAGAGTAGCTGATGTTTACTTTTACATTTCCAGCCCATAATTGTTTACAGCTGACCATGCAAAAAAACTAAAGCAGATATTTACAATCATCGAGAGTTTGCATTCTCTAGGATACTGCCATGCATTAAGTGCCCATAAAACTAAATTAGAATTTCTAATGTTGCTTTAGGCAAGAACTCAGGAGCTACCCACCTTTCATTTGTTGTTAGATCATTTGCACCCAGTTTAATCTCTTAGGACATAAATTTAGTTCTAGGGATCATAACCTGAATTTACTAGAGATCTCTTGATTTTTTGGACTTGACCCCTGATTGAGGCCCTAACTGGCCTTCATGGCCCCCAACCCTCTCACTGATGTTAGCATCATACACTTCCTTGGTCTTAGAGAACTTTGTTTCATAGTCTTTGCTCTCCAGATGGAGATTTAGATGACTTAGTGAGAACGGTTCCTGAACCCAGCCTGCTCCATCACCCAGACTTGAGAAAATGAGGGTACAGACACTCTGCAGGTGCAAAATTCAGAGCTGTAGTGTTTGGAGGCTGCTCTTTTACATTAATGGACAGGAGTAAGGACAGAATTTAATGGTATTATATGCACAAGGGACATCAGAAGGGGAAGCGCCTCCAACAACTTCCCCGCTTTGGAGAATTTCAGGGACTTGGAGGAAGTTATGGCCTGCAGCTGCAGATTCCAGGACATCCAGGGGCTGTTCTCATCTCTCTGAGCCTGTGAGCCAAAGAATTACTAATAACTCTTTTACTACTGGTCAAATTGACAGTTCCATGGCTAATGCAAAACAAACAAACAAACAAACAAAAAACAGTTGAATAAAAAAAAACTAAGCCAAAAAGTAACACCCAAGCCCCATTACACAAACTCCATTAAAAGTATGAGGAATTTCTACCAAGTAAACCTGCTGTAATCCTAAGCTGCTCAGGTGAGAGACTTTGGCCACTGCTGACTAGAGCAGTGGGGGTTGGTTTCTCTACCATGAACCTTTGTNTCAAGTTGACAAACACATTTATATTTCAATGTCCAGCAATGATAGAGGGAAAACTAGTAGAGCTTGGGAACTTAGAAACTTAGGATGACTAAGATTTATAGGGCCACCTTAGAGGTGACTGGAAAGTCATAAATAAATTGTCATTTGGCTTTATGAATTTTAAATTATGGTTTATTCAGACCACAATAAAATGTTTACTGATGCAAGTTTTCCCTAAGAATGCAAGGATGGTCTGGAATAGAAAGAAGCTAAGATAGCAGACTGCAAACTAAAGATCCATAACCGGGAAGTTAATAATTAAGATATTACAAAATTGTGTAAGAATAAACTCTCTAACCACATGAAATTTGAAGTCAGACAATTCTAAGTTCGTATCTGGGTTAAGTGGCTTGCAAGCCCTGTGTATAGCGTTGGGCAAGTCTCTAATATTTTTCATGTGTAAGTTTCTGTTTTATAAATTAGGGATAACAATCTATCACAAACTAATTAATTTATTTAATAACTGCTTAGTAAGGTTTACCCTGACTGATGAGGAGAATAGACTCTGGGAGGGCAAGAGCAGAGGCATGGAAACCAGTTAGGGGGCAGTTGTAATATTTCAGGCAAGAGATGTTGGTGCTTAGGCCAAGACTGTCATCATGGTGAAAAGTGATCTGATTTGGAATATAATTCATAAGCATCAGGGATGGGATTTGCTGGTGGATTGGATAAGAAGAATGAGAGAAAGGAGTTAAAGGTGAGTCCAAGGTAGATGGCTGAGCAATTGTGTGAATACGGCACCAGTACCTGTGTGTAGTAGGGACCAGGCCTTGGTTTTTGGACATGTTAAGAGGGAGATGCCTCTCATACATCCTCAGGACAACTGTGTGATGGTTGTATAGGTTGTTCACTGCACAAAGGGATATGGGGCTGACATCCCTAACAGTGTCCCTGGTGTGGGGCTACATCTCTAATTTGCTAGTAGAGGCCTTGGACTGCCGGGGGTTACTTTCTGGGCTCTTCATCCTTGTGTGGTTGACGGGGCTTGTTTGTAGAAATTAAATAAAATAAAAAATGCCCACCAGAGTGACTAGCACATAGTAGGTGCTGAGCACATGTTAACTCTCTTNCTTGTTTTTTAAGTTTGTGATTTTTGTATGTATTATTAATTTAAATGCCAAATACAGAAAGTAGATTTCTTTGGTAAAAACAAACAAACTAATAACACCTTCCTTGCTATAATTACTCTAAAATGAGAGGGTCAGGATAAATGAATTGTTAAATATTTACAGCAAAACATGTAGCTCATAGAGTGAAACCTTCCAAGTATTCACCTGTATCTTTTGAGGATTGCTTTTTTTAGGCTTCCTGGTATTCCCTTCTACTCCCTTGGAGGTAGTGCTAACTTCTCTGTGTCTCACTTTAATCCTGTGTAGACCATTTAATCCTGTCCAGGCAAACCTTAATGCCTGCTTTTCCTACCTTCCTCTGTACTGACTCTTGATCTGGGCCTGATGGTCTCACCAACTGGGTGTCTCAGTGATGATGTTGGTTAATTCAATCTCAAGCACCTTAAAGTGATAAAATGGCTACAGCTGTTTTAATAATTAGGAATACAAAATGTTTATAATTGCCCTTCAGGATATCCTTTCCACCATAGTTACCAAGGAATTCAAGTCCCTAGCACTGTTATGAGGTGTTGCACAGGAAATGGGAATCTGGTGGACTATCTGCCAAATTCACCAGCCCAGGATTGCTATCATTCTTGAGAAATAGATCAGCCCATTGAACCAGCTACTCCAAACTACCAGTTTACCCATATAATAGAGGCTCTTAATGGGAGCCTGTGTATGAAGGTTCCTCTTGTTAGGATACACACTGATGTGATTCAATGAAGTAGAATATTAGATTCTTAACATTGAGAGCTGGAACATTTATCTGCCTTAACTTCTCAAGCTAATGATTTCTTATACCCTGTTTATAAGGGTCTATGTGAAGGACCCAAAATGGGGGAGTAAATAAATGCTGTGCTTTCCTCCTCCCATGGCCACATTAAAATTACAACTAAATTGTAGAACAATCAACTTGGAGAGCCATCTGAAGTTTTGTTGAACAGACGTTTTATAACTAAGGAAATAAAGAAGAAGCCATGTCAAGACTGGTAGGAGGGGCGGAGATGTGAAACAAGCCAGCCCTACACTTGCATGTGTTAGTGAAAATTGAAAGGAATATCTCAGCCACAGAGGTACCCCTCCAGACAAGTGAGGGACCCCAGCCCCACACTGGGCTCCCCAGCCTGGAAAACCAGTGCTGGGAAGAGGAAGCCCCCACAACATCTGGACGTGGAAAACATGTGGGGATTCAATGTGAGATGGAAGGCTGCAGGAAACTGAGATGTCCTCTTAAAGGAGCCTCACACAAACTCACATGCTTGCAGGCACTTACCTTGGGCTCTGGAAGAGAGACAGTGACTCAGGAGGCATCAGAGGCATACGGGGAGAGACTGAATTGCGTGGTTTTAGGGCAAGGACTGGAGGGGCAGTTGCCATTTTTCTGTGTAGAACCCTTTTCCAATCAATGGCAGGCAGGCTCCATCTTTCCTGTGTTGAGCCCTCCCCCGCATGGCCAAATCTGAATAAACATTGGCCTGGTGAAACATGCTCCACCTGCTTGTTCCACCCTGGTGACTCCCTGGGACCCTTCTCCACCCAACTGCAATGCCTGAGGCACTTTCTTGGCAAGCAGCCCACACCCCTGCCCCCGCACTCTTTATTGGACAACTCTGGGGGTCCGCCAGCCCCAGGTGAGTGGCAGCTGGCCTCAATGCGT